TTTCACAAAAAATAATTGAATATCAATTCAATAAAAATTTAATTAATTTTTCCAGATTTAAATCACCTATATTTGTTTTTAAAAACAAACTGACTTTTCGGGTCCTTTACAGGTCCCATGGTCACGGTTGGTTACCATGGGACCTGTAAACGGCACGAAACGTCGGTTTGTTAGAAAAAACAAATATACGCGATGTAAATCGGAGAAAATAGTTTCATTTCCTATAATAATAATGTACCTCATTAGGATGTTTTCTGTGAAATTCCTTTATTTGCTTAAGTCGGGCATAAAACTCTTGAAATTCATTTGGACCAGACAATGCTGCAATTTCTTCCTTACGCAGACCATCTTTGTCTTCATAAAGTTCCTTTAACCTTATTGTAGCTTCAATATATCTCTGGAAATTGTACAGCTCTGTTAATAAATATCAGGGCAGATATTGTCACAAAAAACTGTTAATTAACTGAGTAAAGGAGTACATGAAGCTAGACTAGCAAAAGTACAACAATAAATGCATAATAATAATATTATATACCTAAATAGATATTAAACTAATTCTGTTCTTATGCCATCATAATTTAAGGGATAATAAAGTTATTATAAAAACTTATTTAAAAAATATTATATCAATAAACAACTATAAATTTACTTACGTCATGCAAGTTTTTCAAACGATGTTCTCCATTGATAGTCTCGCGATGCTGAAAAAATAATAGATATTTATTTTTTGTAAATATATAATAATAAAAATATATGAAGCCAACTAAACTAAAATAATATTAAATGGTTTTTGAATACTTTACAAAGGTCCCGATTGATGCCGAGGCTAAACAAAAGAATTTAGATACAATAGCTCCAGGTGAACTGTTAACAGAGAGCAGTTGGCTTCGTATTTCTAAGAAACGCTCGTCCGACCCACAATTGTATTTTTCCAAAAACTTGTAACTTATCTCTTATTTGGTACAACATATGTACTTTTTGAATAGGTAACAATACAAAGAAGTAATTTAAGTAATTTGTACACATCGTTCCATATAATTTTTTTACAAGGCACTCCTTTTAATAAATAAATTGTTGTTTCTTTTTCGGTAGTTCTCATCATTTTTGAACCACTATGGCAAATTTAACAGTTATTTCGTACTCTATTGCTATTAAACAATAACTTTAATTCAATAACCACTAGATAAAATGAAAACAAACCAGAAACGGACAGAAATAAAATTCCAAAAAAATAACAAAGCTGAGAATCAGGATTTTTTTAAAAAAAATTTAAATCTTCAATATCTTCAAAACTACTAATTTTCGGGCAGGGTATAACATGACTTAATTTGCTTCAAATTAGGTCTACTTTCACCCCTTAAAAGGAATGTATCGAGTTACCAATCACCCTGTATGCTCCGGAATCTTATTGTAAAAACGTATACAGTTCCCCATAAAAAAAGTTGTTTACCTTGGTTAAGCGTAATTGTGGTACCATGAGTTTGGACTTAGCTCTAAGGTAAATATTATGGATATCTTCTTTCTTATTGAAATTATGTATATTTTTACGGGCATATAAAATGTTTATTTATTTTTACGGGCTTATAAAATGTTTGAGTAAATGTACTGTTGCCACAGTCATGATACCAGTCTCCTTAAACTTTTCTCTGAGAGAAACCCGAGAGCCTAGACGGTACACAGAACGAATCGCTCGTTTTTGCAATACAAATATGGTGTGAATATCTGCCACTGTAGAGTTCTGGAATACGACCCTTAAAATCTTTTATAGGTAAAGGACATCATAATACTGGACGATGAGTAGAAAATAGACAGATATCTTAACTGTTGATTTTCAAAGAAGTATGTTTAATATAAAATGGTTGACGTTTTTTAAAATAATTTTTTGGACCACTGTAAATGAGCGCTATATAAAATTGTGTAAGTATTCATACCGTATATGCTAAATAATGCTTTGAGATGTTGATTTAAGAATTGAATGATATGGGATGATTTATATTACCCCTGTCTTCTTGTGAAGAATCTCTTTGACCATGGCATCCATAACCCGTTCTCGTTCTTCATGATAGCTCCGCTGTTGCTCCAATATTGTTTCCATTGTCCACAATTATGATTTTACGTAAATAGATCTAATAATATTTTGTGTGTAGGTAGGAGTAATCAGTGAATTGTTCTAATCTAACCTCGACGCCATTTACACAATCACACAACTAGCCATAGATAATACATACACAAATCGAATGAATGAAATGTAGGATCTGTGTCAAAAAAAAAGCTTTTCTTCTAAATATTCTTGTTTACTCAGTCTCGTTTTTCTCGTCAAATTAAAATCTCAGATTTTTTACATTCATAAAAGGTGTTTTATTGTGTAAAATACTAGGTTGCGTTTTTTTTTATAGCGCTCCACGGTATAATCGACCGGAAATGGTAGTAATCGAATAAGTTTAGCACTATCGAACTATGAAGCATGATTGGTAAACGTCAGCGCTGTCATATTTATACAAGTTCTATTTATCTATTGCTGTTCCTAATTTTGCAAGTGACCGGTGTTTAGGAAATTATAGTAAAATGTTCACCTATTTTTCTTGGATAAATAATCTCTATGTGTGCCTATTTATTATTTGTTCGTTTGTGATCTGTGCTCAATCGGACGTTCCAAGACCTCGCGGTGTTCCTTTATCCAAAGCACCGTTGTACGCTGCAAATAAAGATTTTACCTGTTTCGATGGAACTTTAACTATTCCATTCGCTTTCGTAAATGATGACTACTGCGACTGTTTTGATGGCAGTGATGAGCCGGGAACGGCGGCGTGTTTGAACGGAGTTTTCTACTGTACTAACGCCGGTCACCGACCGCAGAATATTCCAAGCTCTCGCGTCAATGACGGAGTTTGCGACTGCTGTGATGGGACAGATGAATACGCCACGCAAGAGGGCTGCCCCAACATCTGCGAGGAGCTCGGCAAAGAAGCTAGGTACGAAGCACAGCGGATCGCAGAGTTGCACAAAGCTGGCAACAGTTATAGGCTAGAACTGATCGAAAAAGGAAATAAAAAACGAAGCGAGATGGGAGAACAACTCGCTCAGTTAGAAAAAGATAAAGCAGAGGCTGAGAAAATTAAATTAGAGAAAGAAACCCTCAAAAATGAATTGGAGGCTAAGGAAAATGATGTTCTCAAAGTTTACAGGGAGGCAGAAGAATTGGAAAGACAGAAAAAGGCCGAAGAAGAGAAAGAACAGATGATTAAGGAAGCAACTGAGTTCTTTAACAAATATGATAAAGATAATGATGGTATCCTGACTAAGGAAGAAATGATGGAAATATCACTCTTTGATAGGGGTAATGATGGGGAGGTAGATGAGGATGATTTTAAGTACTTCATTAATGATAATGATACTGTTGATAAGGAAACTTTTGTTTCTACTACTTGGTCTATGGTGAAACCACTACAAATGATGCAGCAAAACACATTCAAAGCTCCAGCTGATGATGATGATGAACATGAGCCAGAACCTGATGACGAACCATATGATATTAGCAAAGAAGTGGCCAATGAGGACACTGAAACAGAAGATGAGAACGCTGATGTTGGCCCACATGAAGATGCTGAGGAGCTTGATGAAGCTGATGAGGAACCAGTGCAAAAATCAACTTACGATGAGGAAACACAAAAACTCATAGATGAAGCTTCAGAGGCACGTCGCCAATATACAGATGCAGAGCGTACTGTTAGAGAAATTGAAGCTAATATGAGAAATATCCAAGACAATTTGGAAAAAGATTATGGTCTGCAACAAGAATATGCCACTTTAGATGGGCAGTGCTTAGAATTTGAAGACAAGGAGTATGTATATAAGCTGTGCCTGTTCCAGAAAGTTACCCAAAAATCAAAAAATGGAGGAGGAGAGGTTGGTTTAGGCAACTGGGGTGAATGGGCAGGCACTGATAATAACAAATATTCTGCCATGAAATACACAAATGGAGTGTCTTGCTGGAATGGCCCACAGAGAACCACTACTGTAGCAATACAGTGTGGATTAGAAACAAAACTGTTATCTGTTTCAGAACCATATCGCTGTGAATATAAAATGGAGATGAGCACTCCAGCTGCATGTGATGAACTAAGTTTGCCACAGCACTCATCACATGATGAGCTGTGAGATTTCGTACGTTATACGTTTCTACACCTACAGTGTTGCGTAAAATATAAGTTATGGTAAATGAAGTAAATCAGTCATCATTGTCCATTGAAGTTTTTTAAGAATGTTGTAGAATGTCACAACATGTATTTTAATTTGTATTCATATTTGATTTTCAGCACATAATCTGTTTCTCTATGTCATATTGCATAGAATAAAATGTAGCTGCTAAGTAGAAAATAACTTTTAAGATGTCGTATTTTGATGGTGTTAATTTTCATACAATTTTTGTTAAATCCATTTTGAAAAAAATGGAAGACTGAAGTATAACAAAATCGTAATCATGATTAAGTTCCACACATTCCTGAAACAGAAGGCTGTTTTAGTTCATGTAATAATAGATGAAATTGATGAAGTGAACAAAACATTGTGAGTGATCAATAAATGTTGTTTTTTTATTAATAAAATATATATATATTTCTTTTTTCTTCAGTTAATGAGTGATGATCAATTTTTATTGGTGTAATGCATTGGTATTGAAATTTTATTTCGATTTGTATGTATTGAACAACATAATACACATTCGAATATCGCGCGATGCAAACAAATTCTACATAACGCTACGTTGATAGCATGTTGATAGTGAAAACTTTGTTCAACCAATGCAATTCGTCCGCGTATCAGATTTTTTGTTTTGGTCTGTAAAGATAAACAGAGTAAGCCTTAACGTCGTATATCGTTATCTCTTTCGCACATATTGTAACAGTCGAGCATGCACATACGTATGTATGTATGTTCGTACCTTCAACTATTCCTTTATTTTTTTCCATCCTTTAATGGTTCAACAACCGCATGCATTTCAAATGTCAACAATTTGGTAGACTATTTTTTTTTCCCGTCCTCTAACAGAACGAATTTGAGAAAATGGCGGGTTTTTGTAGTTTCAATTTTTTCGAATTAATTTTTGGGTTAAGTATTATTACGTTTTGAATTTCTTGATTGTTTGTTGCTTGTTTTAGCTGATGTCTTTATAGCCATTAGCTAAAACAAGCCAATACTAAAGAAATAAATAATAATCATCAACAATTTAGGTGGGGAAAAAAATGGCGGGTTTTTGGAGTTACAGTTTTTCATAAATTAATTTTTAATTTAAAGTATTATTACGTTTTAAGTTTCTTAATCCTTTGTTGCTTGACTAAGCTGTTGGCTCTAGCCAATGCTTAACAAATAGATAATAATTTCAGATTTGCTCTGGACCTTTTGGAGGGAAAAGTGTCGTTTTTATTTCGACTTTCAATTATTTTGTGAAATCTAGAAGTGGAATAGGATAGTGGTATTGTGCCTTAATCGAAGATTAAAACGCGATTTATATTATTTATTTATTTTACGAATCTCGAACTAAAATACCCGTATCGGCCCGTTTTAAGGAATCCCGAGTCAATCCAAACACGCCGGCCGCCTCAAATTGCCTATCCTCTTTGTGGCGGCCATATTTACAGAGACATAATTAAACTTCATGTTTAGGCTGATGGCTTTGCCAAAGCCTTAATAAATTAAAAAAAAAAAAAATTTCAAATGTCAAACACGTGCGGGAGTACAGAAACGAGTTTTTATTTTTGTGGATTTTATTGCATTTCATAAAAGAAATAATATTTGTTAGGTGCAAAAAAGAACTCGTTTTTCTGTTCGTTCCACGTGTTATTGAAAAATGTCGCCCAATTTCATCTAGTAAAAATGGATATAAAATGTTCTATATTAACCAAACCCCGCTTCTCAATGTTGGAAGGTAAGATAGATCATCGTATTCTCGAAGGAATAAAGGACATGGGTATTGAGAAACCGACAAGAATTCAGGCAGAGACTTTGCCTCACTTGATGCTGCATAAAGATTTGATCGGGACTGCGCAAACTGGTAGCGGCAAGACTTTGGCGTTCCTTATTCCCACTATTGATGGTTTAATTAGACTCAAGTTCACTAGAAAACATGGTAAGTACTTTAAGTCTTTTTAGGTCCTATTTTTCTGAAATATGTTCCAATGTAATTGATATAAATATTAACGATGCATAAATACGTTTGTACGTCGATGAATTTAATAAAACCCAGTGTTACTTTAACTTATTTTCGAAAAGTACAACAATATTGTAACAGCTCTTAAAATACTATTTACTTTTTGTTTTAGGTACTGGCTGCATCATTCTTTCGCCTACTAGAGAGTTAGCATTGCAAACTTACCAAGTTATGAAGAAATTATTAAGTAGTATAGATTTGTCACATGCATTGATTGTGGGCGGAGAAAAGAAAATGAAAGATATTGTAGCTTTAAAGAAAGGTAAGACATATAAATGGAATCAATATCTGTATAATAAAATAAAAAGCAAGGTAAACTTTGGGTGTACATGTACATTTATAAAAAAGGAAGTTCATCATCATATTATGTACATGTTTTATAGGAGCAAACATACTAGTGAGCACTCCAGGAAGACTTCTAGATCACCTGCAGAGCACTGCAGGTTTCAACTGCAAGAACTTGCAATATCTTGTTGTGGATGAAGCTGATAAACTGCTGGAAGCTGGCTTTGAGAAACATGTTACAGGAATTATAAATCTATTGCCAAGTTAGTACAAAATTTTACTATCCATTATTCGTTTTCTATTTTCTTCTCTTCCTTGGGCATGGAACCTTCTAACTTGTCTGTTTTTTTTTAAATAAACTAACTACAGAAACTGCATTGTCCTATTTTTTTAAGATTGTGTTGAATAATTTTTCACAACAATCAAGATTGTAGTGTTTTATTGAGCATCATTTCTCTTCATTTTCCTTTTATCTTTATAATTTATTTTATTGAGTTCTTGGAAAATGCGTTGTACTTGGAGTATTTGTCATTCACGTCTTAACAATTTTTAATCAGGATTCTAACTATATGATGTAATGGGTTGGTGTACTCAACTCAACATCCAGGTGCCTATTATGCATATAACTGGTTATTTTAATCACATGTGGATTTTCAGAAAAGAGGCAAACAATGTTATTTAGTGCAACAATAGATGAAAAAGTAAAAAACCTCATTAAACTGGCTTTAACAACAGATCCTGTCTGGATATCTGTGAAGGATGATAATCAGTCTACAGTAACAGGTCTACAGCAAGGGTACGTACTGTACAGTCATACCACTATGTATTGAGATGTTGGTAATTAGGTACAATATGCAGAATAGAGGTTGGCTCTTGACTCTGAGTAACATGGTGGGTGTCCAATGCAAACTGAGTTATGTGTGGAAGCATTACCATCAGTCATACAAACATGAATCTCCTGCATACCTTTTTAAAATGGACTGTCCATTTGATCAAAAGTGGTAACTATGCACGACTTTTATATAATAATATAGTGATATTAAGGTCACTTCCTTAGTACTAAACATTACCAGGCTTGGGTCATAATGTCTTAAGTTTCTTGTTCTTGTGATGAGACTCCCTACATTTCAGTCTGAAATGCAGCAGTGTTGGTATGGAATAGGTAGGACATGAGTAGGTTCTGCTGGTTCCACACAGGGTAGGCACACTGGCTAACTAGCCAGAACTGGCACTTCTAAATGTGAAGAACTCTTCACATATAGAAGTGCTACCACATGGCTACATGAAATAACACCTGCATAATGTTGTAATTCCACACCATACCTTTGGAGAGCATCTCTGTCCTCTTTATCATCATAATTAACATTAACATTTTTAGTGAAATTGGGTTATTAACATAAGTCAAGTGGGGCAATTACGTCAGCGGGGTAATTAAACCACATGGCAATTACTTCTATTGTATAAGCTCTAAGTCAGTGGTGACACCTAGTGAAGGTAAAGAAAAAGCAGGTTCGTTCGATAAATAATAGATTGCGCGCGTAAGGCATAAACGGACTGATTGGTGGGCAACTTCGACAGTGAGCCATATTTTTGCTGTACGCAATCATAAACGCTCTGCAAAGTTTTCAATTTCTAAAGTGATTTCAGTGCCTTTTTCGAAGTTGTATCAAGGTAAGTGATGAAATTAGAAACAGTAGATTCTTTTCTGCTAATTGGTTTTATTCCAGATATATTACTAAGTTATTGAGTCTGACGTTATTACCCGCCAAAATTTTGACGTAGGGTTATTAAGTCAGAAAAGAATATAATAATAATCCAACTGTTTTTGTATGAAGTAGCAAAACGCTAGTGATGTGCATAGTGTCGACCTAAATGTCGATTATATATTTTTGTGTGGTATCTTTAGTGAAGCACTATCGTACCAGCATATTTCATTGGCTTATTTGATATACAACGTGTTTTTTTAAACTAGCACAGTATGGGAAGTCAGAAACTATTAGAGGAACAGGTCTTAGCAACCGTCAAATCTTTTTTTGTGAAAACAATTTTGGCTTAAATGTTTTGGTCAAGCGTGAGTTGTCCATGAAAATGAATAAACTTGATAATTTAAAAATCGGGACATTAGAAAGGGCGTTTGTGTCAAAATATCAAAACTGAGAAAATATCTGCTGTCTCCAAAAGAAAGAATATAGACACTTTGTACAGACTTATTTATAAAGTTTCTGATATTAAAAATATGTATATGTGCAGCTTGCACCTACCGAAAAACCTTGTTTTTATAGCTAGAAATTCCAATCACAACTAACACATTTCTCCCAGTAACATACTTGGTTCATTTTCAAATAATTGTAGCTACTTTCCGCTTATCGATTTTCATGCATCCCAACAATAATTTATAGAAAAATGATGGAATTACCCCTCTAAAATGTTAAAAGTGTTTTTTCTAGAAACTGGAGCTTTCAAACAGGTTATAAAGCTCAGTTTCGCATAATGCATGTGTCGTAAACATTTTCTAGATTTGAGTTTTAGCGTCGTAGCTTCATAAAAGGCAGAGATATTGCCAATTGACGTAATAACCCCACAGGGGGGTTAATTAAGTCATTATGATTTCTTTTCAAGATTTTTGCTTTTTTGACAGTTTAGACACGAATTGTTTGCTAAAAAAATATGATGGACAGGAAAACAGATAATTACCTTATGATATGGATGAGTCAACTTAACTGTAACTTTCCAACAGACAATATTAGGAGTTTGTAAAATTTTTGCTTACATTTTTCTGACAGAATAGCAACGCTTGACCTTATCTCTTATCAACAAAACTGGACTTTCACCCCCTGTAATCAGTTTTTTATTATCTTATTTAGTTTTCGTTTTGTCATTTGTTTTTAGGTGACAACAAAACTTAAGGTGCTAATATCTCAAAAGTTACTCAAATGCAAATGCATTAGTTATGGTAAAGATGGCAGACCAGTAACTTTCAAACAATTTTTTTTTAACCGACGCACTCATTGCCCCACACTGGGGAACCCCTGTATCGCAGGTGTCATAGACAAACACAGACAATACCCAGACCCACGAGAGAAATAGATGTAGATCATACAAATATTTCTCCCGGCCCGGGAATCGAGCCCAGGACCTCTGCATGGCAGTTCACCATGGTAATTGTTCAGCCAAGGAGGCAGTTAAATACAGATTATGTAAGAGTATGAATTGTTTGTAGATAGTCAATAAATACAAGTTTTTTCACAGACATGTATCTAGATAGACACCGCAAGTACAGTAATTTGTATGAAAACAAAGCATGCCATTTTTTGTACCCACTATTGTGACCTTTCACAAGAACTATTTAGTAATGGAAACTCCTTCCGCTCGTTCTAAATCGATTTGATTGAACGGAATTTACGCGTTTTCATTCAATTGATCGATTCTAAATAGAATAATTTTTGTTCAAGTATTTGTTGATTACAGTTAGTCGTAATATTAATATAGTAAAAAAATACTAGAATAAGATAGTTAAGTTCTTTATTGTACTTGTTTTAAAAAAATGTTGATTACTTAAAATAAATTAAGACTTTAATTTTTAATCAACTTCAAATATTAAAATTATTGTAACGCGTTTTCACGCGTTTATGCGTTTTCATTCAATTGATCGATTCTAAATAGAATAATTTTTGTTCAAGTATTTGTTGATTACAAGTATGCAGTCGTAATATTAATATAGTAGAAAAATACTAGAATTAGATAGTAAAGGGTCATTCCACCGAAAATGACACCGCGGTTCAAAAAAATAAATTACACAATTTTGTTTTAATTATATGACTAGAATACGATAATAAATAAATCCAATCATTAGAAATAAATGAGATTTTTCGGATATTGTACAATTATTGCATTTTTTGTCTTCATTAACGCAGCTATAGTGCTGTCGTCTATAGTAAAGCATTTTTTCTTATAATGTTAACAACAATTTCGCGGTTATTTGTGCGTCTTTCTACAAAAGTTATTACTATCGAAGAAAATTTATGAATTTTAAAACAGTGATAAGTGGTTGCATGGAAGTATATATATGACGGTGAGGTGTTATTAAAGTTTCAGTAAATACTAATTTCAAGTTACACCCGCCACAATGAAACATATATATTTTTATTTTAATCAATAAATATGCAATCTATTGGCATTTGCTTTTGTAAAAGTAACAATTATGCTAAGGGTCACCATTTTGATTTGGTTGGTCATTGTACACGTATATAGTAATGTAAATATTAAGATTTGAAAGTGTGTCCCACCCGTCACAGCGATGGGTGGGACACACTTCTAAACGTTTTTACTTTGAATAAATGTTTGTATTTTCATGGATTCGAGTTTTTACGATGTTTACTAGGTGTAACAGTTGCTTTAATTGCTTAAATTAAACAGGTGGGACAAGTTACATTTGATACATAGAATTTAAAAAAATACACGGTTTATATGTAGATCCATCATTTGTAAGCAATTTTTTTATAATTAAGACATTATAACACATAAAAAATGACAATTAAAAAGTGGTAACATTTTTCCTTATGATTTTCAATATCAGGAAATTCATGAAAAGTCTCCACCAGTTTTAACTATATATTCGAGCAAAACTTCTAAAATTCGATATATTTTTATATGATATTATTTGATTTAATTGATTATATTTTGAGATAAAAAATAAAATGTATATTTCTCCATACGAAAAAAAAAATTTTTTTCTCCGAAACTATCAACTTTTCAAGAAATTATACAAGAATAAAAGTTGTTAGGAATGTTATTATCTATCATACAACAATTAGCTCGATACTCCACAACTTATTCCTATGTCCAAGAATTATCAATTTGAGCCCATTGTGTGGCGTCTATCTAGATATATATGTCTGTGAGTTTTTTAAACAAATTGATTACCAGGTTGATACAAAGTAGTATAATTGGATTGAGCTTATCTTATTCATAAACAATTATTGTAATTTTGCGAATAAAATATACAGGGTGGACGGGATAGTGACGTCGAAAAAAATGTAGGTGTTTCACATTGAGGGGTATGCGAATGAATGTATGTTCCGCGATTTTAAATAGTTTTCGAATTATGATTTTTTTAATGGATTGTTTTTAATTTTCAACTGGATAAGCTCTAAATTTTTTATTTATTTGTACAACAATATTTTGGGTTGTTTTTGTAACTCAATCTTTATGAATTGTACTTTACGCACAAATTAATCAGCTTCGTAACATTAATGGAAGCTACAAAAGTTTTGACTCAAACTGGAAAATTCGCGTTCCTGAGAGTCAGACTTGGATTTTCAACTTTAAACTAAAAATTTAAACCGGCAATTTCATACTTCCTGGGTCATTTAAACACTGCGCTAGGCTCTAAACTTTCTTGTTAATACAAAAAAACTAGCACTTGACATATTAAGTACCTTTGAAAGCTGATTTCAGCAAACAAAAGGCATACCATTTGCTGAAATCAGCCTTCAAAGGTACTGAGGTCGAAAATTCCTACAATAGTAATTTGTTATAATTATTAATACAAAGATCGAACGCAGAAAAAATTCCTTTGATCCGGCCGGATTCGAACTGGCGTTATACCAACTAAGCTTAGTTGGTACAGCGTCTGGCACGGTATGCTAGAAGACGTTGATTCGGAGTATTCGATCTTTGTATTAATAATTATAACAAACTAGTGGAGTAATTTCACAAAAAAAATTGAATATCAATTCAATAAAAATTTAAAATAGTAATTTGATTAAAAAAAGATTGTTGCCTATTTTATCTTTCCTAATTTTATACACTTTCTTTAATTAGTAATAAAATAATAACTGTAGGAAAGCTAAGATCTGGACATTTTAAATTTTATTTCATTCTATCCTAAATGTTTTTGCGACCACGGAAATTTAGTTGCATGTTATCTTCTATATGTGCACTTTGGAAGAATGACTGAGAATTATGAGGTTTTGTGTTTCAAGCATCTGTAACTTCCATGATGTAATAGTTATTTAGTTACTTACTATTATACTTGTATTCTAATTTGCAGATATTACATATGTCCAATCAATGAAAGAATAGCATGGCTATACAAAATGCTAAGGAAATGTAAAAAACTGAAAGTTATGATATTCTTTTCTTCGTGTAAGTCTGTAGACTTCCATTATGAATTCTTTAAATGCCATTGCCAAGCAAATGTTTTGAGTATTCATGTAAGTATTTTTACTGGGTTATAAACTAACTAGTGTTTGTGATATAACATTCGGGTTGACGGTAACCTTTCCAAATCTAAGATAGACATGATCTGTCTCGGTCTGATGGGCCGTTGCGGCATTATTGAATAACACAAAAATACATCCAAACATTTGCATTCCATGCAAATCCAACATTTTATAATTGAACCTTCACAAACAAGGATACCGTTCCTACTCAGAGCGGGGGCTCCGTTCGCCAGTAAGTTTGGCAGCCGCGAGGAGGACGACGGGGCGGTGTGGCCCGCTTCGTCGTGAGGAGGGGAGGAGGAGAAAGTAGCTCCTCCTATGTGCTGGGGGGTTCCGGTGCTCAAAGTCGATCCCGGATCCGTCCCACTAGAATAACCGAGACGGTCACCGTGGGGGTTTAGCCGGTAGAAGTCTTCGCTGGCCCCGCGACGGAGAGGAATCTTAGGAGGATTTACCCACAAAAAAAAAAGTTCAAGAAGTACGTGCCATTAATAATTTCAGGGCAAACAAAGTCAATCCCGAAGAAAAGAAGCCTACCATAGTTTCGTAGAAGCGCAAAACGGCACATTGTTCTGTACTGACGTCGCGGCGAGAGGCTTAGATATTCCGAGGGTGGATTGGATTGTTCAATACGATCCCCCCACAGATCCCAAGGTGAGTTTTTTACACAGAGATTTTGGAGTTTTGTCTAAATTAGAAAGTATTTTAAGCCTACTCTGTCATCAAAAGCATAATTAATAATAGATAGTTGGAGATATCCTATAACATTATTATGATAAACTAAGTTGGTACAGGTTTATAAAAGATTAATACACAGAGACGCTAGTACGCATCGGCTGTTACTATTCTTATAAAAATTAACAGAAATGTATCGTTCCAGGAATACATTCATAGAGTAGGTCGAACAGCTAGAGGACTAAACAAAACAGGAAATGCAGTTATATTGCTAAGACCAGAAGAAGAAAACTTCGTAAATTTCCTAAGAAAAGAAAACATTTATTTGGACAAGTACTCGTTTGGGGACCTGCCTCACGATGTTCAAGCAATGGTAGGCAATTCATTTCAATGTGATAAAGTAATGAACATAGTGAAATTCACTTTTATCAGTAAGCATGTTGCATTAGCAATGTATATCTGCTATGTACAAAATTATAAATAATCTGTGATAATAATAATGTATGAACGACCTCATGGCCTAGTGTTTAAATACAGATTGCACGTCCACACGCGGGTGTAATTTAATGTACTAATTGCATTATAAGGATTTTGAATGTTTTGACTAGAGCACCCTAAGTTAATTTTATTAATATAATTCCTTTTATGTGAGTATATGATGATAAGATACCAACACTAAAGACACATACAAATGTATATATATATATATCAAATAAACAACAAAACCAAAGTAACCGACGCAAACAACGTTTACGTACAACGCATATACAGTGTGTCCCAAAATTTAACGTCATGCGAACACCGGGCGAAAGGCCAGGTTATATCAATTCTGGTAAAAATAAAATAAAACAAAACATCCTTATCACTTAATTAATTGTGATGAGGTATATACACACATCAAAAGTGTCTAGGGATCAAGTACGTTTAAGACTATTGCTGCAATTAGGGTTAATTACCTATATTAACTTTTTTGTATCGCTATTGATACTTTTTAGTGAGTTTTAACATTTAAATAAGGAATATTGTTTAAAATTCGATAATAAGAAGAAAATCGATTGTCAATGTGGTTTTTATAAAAATGAGTTATAGCGTTTTGACAAAATCATTACAATATCTGCATTGGAACCGAAACAATTTACATTATTATGGAGAGACGACATCATTTAACCCGAGAAGTGATGATGTGAGCCGTCGGAATGTTGGAAGCTGGTTCCAGGCAACGTGCTGTGGCTTTCACTCTTAACACTACACAGAGCGTCATAAGTCGCCTCTGGACGCGCTATTGCATGATGGGCAGCGTGGCCGAGCGACATGGAGGACGATCTCACATCACGACTCGCAGACAGGACCGGTATATCCAAAATACTGCTCGACGGAATCGTACCATGACCGCCATGATGTTGGTTACGAGGCTCCACAGCTCCTCAGGCTTGCTAATAAGCGATCAAACAATCCGAAATCGTTTACGTGAAGTGGGTCTGCGATCCCGAAGGCCGCTCAGAGTTCCACCTATTGCACCCTGCAATCGCAGGACCCGTTTACGATGGGCTCGCGAACACAGAAACTGGGAGGAAGAAGACTGGCGCTATGTGTGCTTTTCGGATGAATCCCGCTTCGGTATGAGACCGGATACAAGACGTACTCGAGTTTGGAGAACATCTGGACGTCATGAACGTTTGAGATATTGCCAGGAAGTTCATCCATATGGTGGGGGAACAATAATGATATGGGCCGGTATTTGGATCGGGGCGGAAGAACCGATCTCATTTGGATCAGGGGTAACCTCAATGCTCAAGTTTACGCAGAGAGGATTGTTTCAGATGTTATCATCCCTTTGCGAGGCCAGTTGGGTGATTCATTTCAACTAATGCATGACAACGCACGTCCACACACGGCTAGAGTCGTAACACGCATTCTTGCCGAAGCTCGTATCAACGTTCTGCCGTGGCCTGCTCAATCGCCAGACCTCAATCCAATTGAGCACGCATGGGATATGCTTCAAAGAAGAGCTGTGCCGAGTATGCATACCGTACATACTCTACAACAATATTTCGACTTGTTACAAAACACATGGGCGGCCATTCCTCAAAGTGATTTTGATGAACTCATCTTAAGCATGCCAAATCGTTGTAATTGTGTGATTCGTGTTAATGGTGGAAATACAGATTATTAATTTTCTTATCTTTACAATAAAAATGAGCAAAATCATCATTTTCGCCATTTTTTTGTCATTTAATTGACGCCGTTAATTTGAGTTTTTTCCCACAATTTGCAAAAACATCAATTTTAGTTTATTTTAATTAAATATAGGGGTAAGCGGTTAAATAAAACATAAGCATTAAAGTAAGAAGTCGTCCTGGAAGACTGGATTTGGTAAATATTGCTTAAATAATTTTTATTTCAAAAATATTCACTTGATCCCTAGACACTTTTGATGTGTGTATATTTTTGATAATGTTGAAAATCAATACCCTAGACCACATCTTTAAGGTGCTCTCATCACAAATTTTAAAATATTGCAGTGTTTTTTTAACGTAGTCCTAAATAACCATGCTATTTGTCGCACTCATTAATCAAACAATGAATGTTAATTTATTGAGTCATAGTTAAAAAAAAATTATGTCACCTAACTTTGACACTTCATATGTTAAAACAGTATTACGCTACCCTGGAGCAAGTTACGGTCCATTAAGTCAAGATTTCACAATGGTACCTACAATACTTGTGTGCTCAAAGATCAGTTTTATCATAGTGTAAGTGAGATGGCCAGATATGGTAAGAGTGAGATAGACAGTGACACTATTCGACGTAAATTAGAGTGAGACAGTTGCCACTTTTTATTCCAATATATATATATATTATATATACCGTAGCTGATATTATATAACCTAGTTTTCCGGTACCAGCTGGACGTCGAGTTTTGGGACACCCTGTATGCAGAGAATTGAGAGCAATTCTTATTCTCGTTTACAGCTAGAAGGTCTTATAAAGAGAAATGGCGTAATGAAAACATTAGCTCGCAAAGCATACTTGTCTTTCCTTAGATGCTACAAGTCACATCCTTTGAAGAAAATATTTAATATAAAAACCTTGGATTTGAAACTAGCGGCACAAGCGTTTGGGTTTTTAGAACAACCTCATGTTGATTTTTGTATCCTTTTATATTTTGTTATTTATTATTGTATCTAAATATTGAAATCCTGAAAATTCTACCATACTTCTCGGCATAATATTTTAAAGGTGCAAGAATAATCACGTCAAATGAGTCTCAGTGATTTCAAGAAGAAAAGTTATAAACTTTAATGATAAAAGCCATAAAATGCCTATGTTGAGAAACTAATCAATCATTTGTATCCATGGAGTATATATGTAAGTATCCACTTGGTGACGTTTCATGGCTTTGATTATAGAAATATAAAAATACGGTAGCGGGCTAAATTGAAAGGTTACACACTCCTCTTTTGAGAGCTAAAATTGAATAGAAACCTTACCAATTTATTCCTACATATAAGATACTACTCTAGTGCTGAGTTGCTGTTTTTACCCTACATTTATTTCAGAGTACACCCCGTCCCTGCTACTGGCGAATAAGCATTTATTTGTATGTTTTTGAAATTTGTACAATATTTCTTAACTATAAATTCAGTAAATTGCAAAACAAGAACGTGATTATGGGGCATTATTGAGACAAGACGTTTACCCTCCGAAGTACGTGACTGACAGGCCAAGTTGGTTATTGTTTCCGCAATGTTATTTTTGGAATGTCGATAAAGTCGTGGGTGTCAACTTAAACTGGACGTATCTTGATTTGCTGACAGTATTGACAGTTGTGACCACAGACGTATATCTAGATAGACGCCGCAAGTACAGCAATTTGTATGAAAACCAAGGATGCCACATTTTTTTGTACCCACTATGACGTCACAAGAACTATTTAGAGATGGAAACCTCCTTCCGCTCACTCTAAATCGATTGATTGAACGGAATACGCGTGTTTATTTATTTTTATATATTGATCGATTCTAAATAGAATAATTTTTGCTCAAGTATTTGTTGATTACAATTAGTCGTAATATTAATATAGTAGAAAAATACTAGAATAAGATAAGTAACTTCTTTATTTTACTTATTTAAAAAAAATGTTGATTACTTAAAATAAATTGACTTTAATTTTTAATCAACTTCAAATATTAAAATTATTGTCCTTCCCATATAATGAGCTTTTTATATAACATCTTTTTGTAATAGAAGATATTATCGAATAACCTAAATAATGGAAACGCACGTCAATATATGAACTTGCGACTGCCTTAATTAATTTTACTAGATGGTTTTCTGTTGGTAATTGATCAAATTGATGAATGGCAAAACAAATGAAAATATTACTGCTGACAAAATATGGTAAAATGTTATTAATCAGAAGAGGTTTACTTAACGAAGGCCTCGCTTGAAATTTTTGTTTTTTGTTTATTATTTCTTGGATTTCTAACTCTACTACTCTGCATATTTGGATAGCATCTTAGGTGGGATAAACCAGACCACCTTCGTCATAGAAAGCAACGAACTCATACGTATAACCAACTCCAGGTTTTTGTAAAGACAGCGCACTGTTAATTCTTTGCTTTATATATTTTTTGTATTACTCGTACTATACATATGCGGCGAAGTATGTAATTATTTGCTCACCATATTCGGACATTCAAGGCAACGTGCTGCATAAATGATCGAAATTACAGATACTACTGATAATAGATACTACAAAACTGAAAAAAAAAGTAAACATTACTAAACATTACTACAAAAGAGTTATAGAATATTTTTAGGTCATAATAATTTTCGTCCCTTTGTTTTAAAAATAGATCAGAATAGAGAACGGTGTTGCCTAACACGAATACATCACTAAATGTTAAATTTGGCTAAAGAAATGTACTTACGGCCGTACCACGAAACTGGGGGTCTACTCTCGATCTCCGTCCGACATCCGTCCGAAACAATTACTGCCAAATAAGCAATACTTGACCAAATGAAAAGACGCGTGATGCGAATGAAGCTTCATACTTAATACTTGTCTTTTAATTTTGTCGAATATTACTTATTTGACAGTAATTGTTTCGGACGGATGTCGGACGGAGATAGAGAGTAGACCCCCTGAATACATTATACAAAAGTGCGTTCGTTCGATATTCATGGCGTATTAACAAAGGATCACAAATATATCACACCAAGTAAAAACCGCAATGTATTACAAATCATGAGGCATACACTCGGTTGCATATAGGGCATGCAAACCGGTTACCCGGTTAACCATAAAAAATAACCGGTTAACCGTCTATTTTGGAATCCGGTTTTCAGCAAAGGAAAAACTGGTTTTTCGGGATTTTCGGTTTCTTTTAACTATTAAAACGTAACGAGTTCTTAGGTTTTCGCGATTGTTACACATAGGGAATTTCAATCGCATATATTTGTTTTGGGACTTGTAAAGGGCCCAAAACGTTAGTTTGTTTGAGAAAACAAATATACGCGATTCAAATCCGGAAAAATAGTTTCATTTATTAAAACCTAAGTTTGTAACTCATAATATCATTGTATCCTAGTTAATAATGGTAAATAAACGTTAATTAAATGCTAGGAATTTAGGTACCTAACTACAAGACAGCGACAGCGTCCTCGAGACGGAGACGGGTAACTTTTGGGATAGCCAGAGGTGAGGGAAGTGCGCGAGCAGTAAAGCAACAAATCCGAGTCACCTATCCTCTTGGCAGGCTTTTCAACATAATCCAAGGCGGCTCGTTGGTATTCAGCAGAACTATCACATAGGTGGCAACGTACTCTATATTCGACCGGATGTGTGCTTGGTACAGCTTTTTTGAATCTTCTGTCCCGGTGTGAAGTAACACCTCACCTTGAAAAGGATGTCAAGCTTCTTGGTTGCATTTTTGGCCATGGATTCTATGCATCTGCCGAAGAACAGTCTGGACAACAGGTTCATTCCAAGTAGCTGGCGATGGTCGGCTGTCGATATGGATATATCAGAAATAGTCGGAGCTCCATTTTGTGCAGAATAGACACGCCTGCGTTTTAGAGCATTCCATTTTATAAGTTTGACACCACCCCAATCAGAGACAAGCGAAGTGTCAAATCCAAATGACTAATCATAGACTCTGGACAAGACTGGATTTTTTTTCCACTGACCTTTGCATTGATAAAGTACCTATCTACAACTGCGCTGTAATCAGTATACCTGGAATTAACATATTGATATGCGGCAGAAAGAGAGTTGTGGACAGTACGGAACCCTGGCGCACTCCGAAACTCTATCGCCTAATGTAGTGTAGTAAGATCGAATCGAACGCTAACTCAAAAAATCCGACATTGGAAAGCCCGTAAGAGTGAAGCTTGCTTAAGGTTTGCATGCCAGATATTGTCAAAGGCTTTAGAAATATTCCAAGACATTGCAAGTGCTTCTCCTTCCTCTCCTATAGTCTCGCTCCACGTGTGAAACGCATACACAAGAAGATCACCCTCTACGGCACACATGGTCGAACTTGACTTGGCATAACGCTCATTTGTATGTCTTGGCTGTCTTATTAAATTCTTCAGTTTCAGAGCATTCGGAGCTTTGCGCTGTCGAGCATACGCTGTTTTTGTACTTCAGTACAACTACAATCAGCGTTAAAACATGGACGAGCTTGGGGTCTATTGAGTACATCAGAGTATGGTATGTAATACTCCACACCTAAACGCAAGACACAGCATGAGCACAGCTCGACGAGTTCCCTGAACTGAAGCAACCCTGTCAGGGATATGAAGCAAATCGCATTGCGTCCCAATCTGCTAACCTGTTTCGCCACGTCCGCTTCATACCGCCATCTAATCGGGTGGGAGAGGTTTCAAAAGACAATAGACAGAGCAATTAGTCGTATGACACTTAACATCTGGAATCCTGATGGCGCTACTGACAAGCTGGGAAAGGCTTAGCGTCAACGTCAATTTTCGCGTCTGTCTCCCAGCATATTTAGGTCATTTGGTATGGGCACAACCATTCTTTCATTCCTCAGAATAACTAGCTGCGCCGCTGGGTAACTATGATGAGCATCATTAGTCGTTTCTCTCAGATGTTGGAAAATCTTGACCAGAGAATCAGACTGAAAACGAAGATATCGAGTTCTTAGGTTAACGCAATTGTTACACAAATATTCATTCAATAAAATAATTTGTAAAACTAGCGTAAATTGGAATGTTTTCTTTGTAAAATTAAAAATAAGGTATTTAATTAATAACTATTGTAACTATAGTGAAAAAATAGGGTGGCATAGGTTTGCATTAATAGTGGACATAACTGGTTAAAGACTACCACCTCAGTCAACCGTGACCATGGGACCTGTAAAGGGCCCGAAACGTCGGTTTGTTTGAAAAAACAAATATACGCGATTTAAATCCGGAAAATAGTTTCATTTCCTATGAAAACGAAGATGTTTAATTGCTTGTCTCTAAAATACGTATATTTTTTTACGGTATTCGTATTGCTGTTGATTTTTTTACTATAATTCGAGACGTTATTGGTTTCATTACATGTGAATTCTATAAAAAATAATTTACAAAACACTTTTTTTATGATATATAAGTGCGCATTTGACCTCCATCTCACCTGATGGAAAGTGGCGATGAGGTCGATGGTGGAGCATGTACATCTAAATAATGCCTATTTACTTTGGCCTCGAAAAGGCCCAAGTTATAGCGTTCAGGGAACAAGTCTGTAGGCAGGCAATTCCACTCTATAGCCGTTCGCCATATAAATGTGGAAGCGTAATGCTTCGTGCGAATCTGGAATATCCACAACATAGGGGTCGAACCCAAGCCTACGTACGAGGGAAAGGAGAAGGTGGAAAACCATTTGGCAACTCGACTGCGTTGGGAGGGTGGTGACTAGACTCGCCCGAAGCGAACCACCAGTAGTTATTGCTCTTTAGCACCACCTAGGGTTCAGTTGTAGGGTCTCGAGGGTAAACCTACGGAAGCGAGCAACATCAACCCCCAAACTTGATGTTTTTTAGTTTTCTGACGCTTTTAAACAATTAATTGGGTGGCAATAGAAAAATATCCGGAAATACCGGATAGCCGAGACTTAATATCCGAAAAAACCGGTTTTCAAAATCACTCGGTTTTTGCATGCCCTAGTTGCATATTTGTTTTCTCGAAATTCATACAAATCAAAAATAATAGTTTTTAAAATAAATTATACATCTTCTGATTACAAAATCCCTCCGTTTACCCAGTATTGGTGCTTTTGCAATTTATAATGGCACAATTATACATTTTTTTGCGTTTTCGACTGGTGTTTATCTACTATAACGGTCGAGCGCGTTCTAAAGTGTATAGCTGCGACAACTAATGAATTTCACTTATTTTGGGCACGCGAAATACGTACACTTGCGGCGCCTATTTAGATATATGTCTCTGGTTGTGACATACGTTTATCACTTTATTTCTATATAGAAACCTTATTTCTTTCCTTCTATCAATTATTCTTTCTATCAATTAAAGTAAAAATATTTTTAAAATAAAAGTTTTTATTAATCAAATTTAACATTATAACTTTTAACTTATGGTTTTCCTGTTTCCGCCTTTTTGTCTATATATCTTTGTTTTTTCCGCCTTTTGTTTGAAACTCCCAGGTGCGTTTAGGGATTTGAAGTATCCATATCCACCACCACCTTTTCTTTTTGTTGGAGGTCCTTTGTTAGCCACTTTGAGCTCGACCGCAGGTGGTACAGTGAAACCGAAAGATTTTGATACCTTAGCCATGTCTATAGTATCGATGTCAAATATAGTTTTAAGGTGGTGCGAGTCATACGCACGAAGGTAACTCTTAAACGCTTCCTTAGCTGACGTGTTGAGGAAATAGTTTCTTGATATTAGTTTCTCCAACTGTAAAATTACATGTTTAATTAGTCAACTTAATAATTAGAAAGTCTGGCATGACTCAAATGGTTAAAAACATTAAAATGGCATTACATATTGTTTTACGTTTACTGTGACAGCTAATCAAAGTTTCATCGTGTTTGCTTTATTTCATTTACTAACGATCTCGACGAAGACATTTTTTTTAATGATAACATGTAACGAACAAGTCGTGCACCTGGTGACAAGCGACACGCCTGTCCACAACAGTTGCAGTGTCACTCAGAGCAGTCAATCACAAAGATCTAAGGAGCACAGCCGTCACCCTGAGATGTGCCTGTAATACTAAATACACACGCTATACTAAATATACACACTAAATGTGTTAGTGCGTTGGCGCACTGCATCCGATTCTTATTCGTTCCAAATCTAATACTATACAAATCTAAAAACTCTGACCCACTTCGGATTGGTTTATAAATAACTGATTATAATTCATTCGCATTCCTTAATACTTACAAATGGAATTAACATTTGTAATAGTGAATTCAACTAGTAATTAATATATTAATGGTTACAAAATATTGCTTGCAAAGATAATCCAGAAACCATTGTTGGCATATTCGAAGCGCCTGCAAAGGTATTTTTATTATTAAGGAGTTTTTATTTGATTTTTTTAAAGAACTTTTTATAGGTGCCTAAAATAGTGAAAAAATTATGTTTAGATAGAAGTTAGGTAGTAAATAGTTATATATATATAAAAATATATATACTGCTGGACCCATGAAAAACGTAAAGGGTTCCAGCCAACCTAACGTCAAAATGGCTGAACACTATATCTTTAATATTTCCGTTTGTTAATTATTTTGTGTTTTATTGTTTCCGTCAGGTAGAAAATATGTCAATAACGGTACTAAGTAGCAGAAAATAGGTAGTAAATAATGAGCACAGTTTGATTTGTATATCTCGTTTGGTCCAGCCATCCTGACGGACGCATTTTTCGGATGCAGAACTAATGGGAATCGAACGTAGTGTGCAATCGCTCTTAATCCACATTTACAAACCCCTTTCCAACATTTAAATACGTTATACGGGTTGACGAACTGAATTTATTTATGCTGACCTGTAGTTGAATATCAGCAACCTTATTCCAAGAGAACTCGAACTCGTTGAGTGTGACCTTGGATTGCTTGAGGTATCTGAGGAAACCGAGCTCTTCAGGTCGTAAGAACAGCAACGCGTGCCCACTTGTGCCGAGGCCTCGCGCTGTTCGGCCCACCCGGTGAATGTATTCCTACAAAAATATCGTTATAATTTCATAAATTATTACTAGATTTGCAAGAAGTAAAGCTGTTTTACAACCTCATTCGCCTTTCACGGCGTCTAGTGGTGATAGCTTACAATTAAGTCAAAAAGTTGGTTCAGTTCAATGTTATGCACATTCCACCACCACTTCTTTTACCCACACCACGGATCCCTTCGTTAAGAGGTTCTGACGCTATTATTGAATTTTTATTATCCTTTTATTTGCACGATACAAGGGTTTCGACCAGAAAGGGAGGAACTAATAAAATGTCTGTTACAGAGCGAGTGTATATACCTATATATATAACTGCCTCGGTAGCCGAACGGTCACCGTGCTGGACTGCCACGCAGAGGTCCCAGGTTCGATTCCCAGGACGAGAAAAATATTTGTATGACCTACATTTATTTCTCTCGTGAGTTTGGATGTAATTTGTGGTTGTCTATGTGAGTATATCCATGGCTCCCGCGATACAGACTTTTCCCGGTGCAGGGCTATGAGTGTGTGCGTTATTATTTTAAACTCTCGCCTATCCCAAAGCCTAAAAGATTAATTTAGAATTTTTAAATGAGAGTGGCGGTATTTCCCGGCAATAGCACAGTCGGCCGGATTCAGGAGTTCAGGTTCAAGAACCGGCAAACAATACGTGCTGTATCGAGCAGAACCGCCTAATGCATTTGTTCTAGTAGCGACACGCCACAGAAAACCAACCGCCTCAAAATGCCTTCGGCCTTGCTAGACTGGAAATAACCCGTTTGTGGATGAAACAATTGGGATTATTTCAGTGGAGGCCACATCCTACATGTCGGTGATCTCGTGCGCCAGATCGAGATACTTCCGGCGTTTCTCGGTTTCGGCTTTCACGAGACCCTCGTCATGCGGGATTATTGGTACTTGGTGCAACGGGCTGATATCCGCAACTGGACGACAAAGCGCCTATTTTGCATGTGATGCGGGATTATTATTATAATATGTTTAAATAGCGTTTAGTTATTTTTGACGTCTGAAATAAATGCAGAGCACATGGTAGATAATGCACCTGAGATTGTTCCTATCCTCTTGGTATGTTTTTTTAATGTTCTAGGCAAATTTAAACACCTTTGGGTCATCCGGCGGGTCATACTGCACAATCCAATCGACAGCAGGGATATCGAGTCCTCTGGCAGCCACGTCAGTGCAGAGTAAAATACCGGATTCCGCGTTGCAGAACTGGAAGAACGTTGTTGTACGCTTCGCTTGTTGTTGTTTGCCCTGTAAACATGAGTTTATGAAATATAAAGCCAATTGGGAGTAGCATTAAAATTTTCATCAAAACTTTCGAAGAAAGACCTGGAACGAGTCATGAACAAGTGTACAAGATTACTAAACTCTAGCCATATAACATTGATTCAACGTGATTACTAGCCATTGTAAACAATGGCTGGTAATCAGAGATGGGCAAGCGCCCGGGTTTTAACCCAAACCATTAATGCCCGAAATCGAGGGTAAAAGCTATTCACAACTAAATATTTGTAAACCGACTTTTGTTCAAATGTATTATTACAAAATGTTTTATGCTTGCTTACATATTTCGCATTTCTATTGAATAGATAATAATATTGTAATGAATCTATACGAAAATTCGTTATCACGTACTTACACTAATCGATTTCCATAAAAAAAATCTAATCACAGCAACAACAACATTGCAAGGTTGGTATAGAGTTGCCTCTTTTTAAAAAATAATCCGTCTAAAAAATATTTTTTCATCGAAATTTGTACCAAATTTCGTATTCGCCATTTTGCCCACAATTTTAGGCACAAATGTGTTGAAATTTTTTAGTAAAATCCCGATTAATACCCGGCGCTTTGGGTTAAATCTCGGTTAAAACCCGAACGGGTTGATCGGTTTTTAACCCACTGTCCATCTCTGCTAGTAATTGCTAGTAATCGCTTTCACTCTGTCTTCTCGTTCCCTCATGTCTGACTATCGTGGTCAGCTTCATTCATGCCTACTTATAAGCGGGTAAGCTGCCTTATCTGATTTTTTACCTATTTGCATCAATGAGTTTGAATGAATGAGGAAGTGATAGCTGAACCAGAGGCTTATTTTTCAGTTTGACAAAAAATATTTTTTGATAGGTTGAAAAATATGGGATATCGCTGGTCAAGGTGTATAGAGTTAAAAAATAAACCATAATTTAAAAATAGTTTTTCTTCTCAAAGTCACGGACTTATCAAACTGACCTCGTTAATTTATGTACTAAAGATACATATGTACAACTTACATGAATAGACATGACAGGCAGGTCAATGTAGTTAAAGAGTTCGTGATGGTATTTAACAGACATGCATGTGGAAAAGAAGACCATCACCTTCTTCTTCCTGTTCTTTTTTAAGAATGTGAACAGAACCATCATACGCTTCTCTGATGGGCATACTATATATCTGTAAGCAAAATAAACTAAAATGGTATAACATTTTTGACAACCAGTATTATTTGTGTGATCAATGTGAAAAATTTATTTATAATATAATGTAGAAATTATGTATGTGTACCAGTGTTGGGCAAAATTTAATTGTTCTGGCAATTAAAGATTGACAATTGATTAATTGTCAATTGCGAAACAGCAATTAACGATTGATCAATTGTTAATTGCGAGAACCGCAATTAACAATTAATCAATTGTTAATTGCGGTTCTCGCAACTAACAATTGATCAATCGTTAATCGCAAATATCTACAATTAACAATTAATCAATTTTCAATCTTTTCAATGTTTTTGATTAACAATTAACAATTAAAACTGACAATTATGATAAATTTATAGGGCATATGGGGGTGAGTTAGACCGTTGGTTGTGGGGGCCTGTTGGGGGCCTGCTGGGGGCCCCGGTTGGGATCCCCGTTTGGGGGGGCCCCGGTTGAAGGCCCAGGTTGGGGGCCCCGGTTGGAGGCCCCGGTTGGGGGCCCGGTTGGGGGACTCGGTTGGAGACCCGGTTGGGGGCCCCGGTTGGAGGCCCGGTTGGGGGCCCCGGTTGAAGGCTCCGGTTGGGGGCCCCGGTTGGGCGCCCCGTTTGGGTGCCCCGGTTGGGGGCCCAGGTTGAAGGCCCCGGTTGGGGGCCCCGGTTGAAGGCTCCGGTTGAAGGCCCCGGCTGGAGGCCCCGGTTGGGGGGCCCGGTTGGGGGACTCGGTTGGGGACTCGGTTGGGGGCCCGGTTGGGACCCCGGTTGCGGGGCCCGGTTGGAGGCCCGGTTGGGGGCCCCAAGTTCGTGGAATTACTATTAGTTGCCAAGTTTTATTGAAGTCGGTTACCGAAAAGTGTGCGAGACCGGATTCATCCCCTACGGCCACCCTTTGAGGTGGAATATTTTCTTCAAATTCGAATAGGACCACTACTGAGGTACTCTCTTTCCAACAAAAAAAGAATCATCGAAAGCGGCTCACAAATGCTGATGATGATGATTTGTCGCTTAACATACATAAAAGAAAAATAATATAATTGAGCACCTCTTCCTTTTCTCGAACTCGGTTAAAAAAGGCAGTATGTTACGTATTTCTCTTAATTTTAACAAATAACGGCTGCTAATTAAAGATAGAGATAGTAAATTATTCCCGTAGCGAGTGCGATAAGGAAGCATGAACTCCGGCCATTGATTATAAGTGCAGATACGAACATTAATATACTACGAACATACATATATTTAGGAAGCGTATAACTTTATAAATGATGGTAATTGGGCAGTAGAATTATTACTCGACATGTCCAAAGCCTATGACATGGTATCCCATGAAATATTATTACAGAAATTACATAACATCGGCGTAAGAGGAAGAGTGTTTAGATGGTTCCACAATCTTACCTGCGGAATAGACAACAATATGTGGAAATCGAATATTGGGATAAAGACATGAAATCTATTCTAACACCAAAACCATAAATTGCTCTATACCCCAAGGCAGTGTTTTGTGTTGTATCTTACTCATTATTTACATAAATGATCTACCGGAAATATTGGTGACCGTCAGGATGGCTGGTCGCCTGTGGCGTCTGGCACTGAGTGTATATTCAAGAATTGCTACCTATTTGCTACCTTTTCTAAATAATTGCTACCTATGATATATGATACCTATGGCACAACAACCTTCCTCCCTCTTTTCATTGTCACCAAACACTACTTAAACCAGAAACGTAAATATGAAACTCAATATTAGTAATAGCAAAACCTTTGAATCCTCAGATAAATCAAACTAAAACAATTTGATCCACTTATGACAAATGACACACATATTGCGTTATGATGGTTACCCTGTCGGTTTTATACATTAGCAATCTCACCAGACTAGTTCACCTCGAAGTAATTGTTGAACGCCTGCCCTTTATATTATGGCAATAAAACACTAAAAATTTTTGCTTTTTTAGTTTAGCCAGGCACTTTTTCGCAAAATTTTCAATCGGTTATATTTTTTAATGAATGTAGATATGAAGCGTATACCTTTAATTCGTGAAGGTAGCAAATAGGTAGCAATTATTGGTAATACATACTTCTGGAAAATCTGCTCCCTTCATGCTGAACAAAGAGGCGACCAGCCATCCTGACGTCAGAATGGCTGGTCAACATTTTTTTTTAATTTCTCAGAATATATCATAGGTAGCAACTATTTAGAAAAGGTAGCAAATAGGTAACAATTCTTGAATATACACTCAGTGCCAGGCGCCACAGGCGACCAGCCATCCTGACGGTCACAAATATTGAACACTTTATGTGTAATGTATGCTGACGACATATCGTTACTATTTAAATGTAAGGATGATGACGATAGTATTGATAATATAATAAATCCTTTTAATTCAGTTAAAAATTGGCTGTTAGACCACAATCTCAATGTGAACCTAAAAAAGACTAGACTTATTCAATTCAGGCCACACGAAACGGGAAAATTGGACTTAAAAACTATAGTTACTATGTTAAAGATTGACGAAGTTGAAAACTCTAATTTATTAGGTATAAACATTTGATTCCCATCTAAATTGGAAAACGTATACAGGTGTATTACAAACAAAATTATCATCATTTACCTACGCATTAGCACTCCTAAAAACGAACAGTAATTACAAAGCCGCACTTGCGACCTATTATTACGCCTACGCCTACGCATGGCTCCAATACGGCGTCATGCTGTGGGGTAGTAGTATCACGCACAAAGGAGATATTTTCGTAATGCAAAAGAAAAGCGCCTCAAGATAGCTGCCGACTTTATTAAACAAAACCTTACTTTCCCCTCACTATACATACTTGAATTATCATAATACTTGAATTATTATATAATCATTAGGAAGCATTTACAAGAATTTAAATACATAAAGAGATTGAGAAGAGAGAGATTGAGAAGGAGTAATCAACTGGAACTCCCCAAACCAAAATTATAAAAGTACAAAAACAGCCCATATTAACGTGCAATAAAAATATACAAAAAAATACCGCCTGACATAAAAAACGAAGCAAATGATAATTTTGTTCTTTAAAATATTTAACTATTAAATGCTATTATAAAATTGAACAGTACGTACATACATAAATAAATAATTAAATAATTTAAAAATATATTTCAACAATTACACTCCAAATGAACACGATGAACAAAACTATAAATACTTAATAATTAATTGATGACGAGTTTATATACATGTAATTTGTTGACGAATCCATAATATTAATGAATATATTCTATATTCTCTCGACATGACGTTTTTTGTTTTAGTATTGGACATCGAGTATATAACCAGAAATAGAGACGAAATGTCATTTAAATTGTTTGAAAACTATTCTGCCATATCATTACTGTGACAACTGCGCTCCGATTGGCCAGCCTGAGTTCGAAAGATTTGACGGGTGTCGTCAACTGTTTCACTTCAAATCGACCAGTTAACTTGAGCTTTGCTATAATGGACGAAAATTGAAAAATTACATATTTAATATTTAATTACCGATGAAATGTGATTCCGTTTGTTTTGTAATTAGATGTTTTACTGTTTTTCCCACACCACCGAATAGAGCAGCACCGCACTGTTAGAGATATTATCTTTATTGCAATAAATACAGGATATTTTTTGGAATATACGGAGACATACACACAGGTCAATAGTTGGCCTGTTTATATTTCAGTGCAATTGATATTTATAATAGCTGTATCGCTAATGAGTTACCAGGAACATATGGCCCTTATTTCGTCTCTTTAGTAACTCGATGGTTTTAGAATTTATTTTGACATCTATTTTTGGACTCTGCTGTTGAGTGTTAGCTACAAGGTGTTCTGTGAATTAGTGCGTTTTTTGGCTAATTTCTTTATTTCATATCCCCTGTTGACTTATTTTATGTGTCTATTTAAGTAGTTTATGAGTGTTGTTAATTGTATTGGTAAGTTAAAGCTTAAAAAAATTAAGCTTATAGTTGTAAATGTCTGATCCTCCCGATACGGGGCGAGGCGATGCTGAGCCACGTGCTCAGTCATCTCCTCGGCTGTTTTCGCAATCTCAGACTGAGGTAATGGAAGTAGATAAGATCATCCAAAGTAGGAAACGAGCCCCCACTGACGTGTAATCATCTCAACTTCCCAAAAAAAAACCAATACCTCACAGTCTGTTCCGTCCACCCAATTTACATTTACCAACCCAAACTTCTTAAACAACAAAAACAAATACATGGCACATGATATCGCCCCATTCATTGTACATGTGAGCAAAACAGTATCGGACCCCTCTTCCGGCACCGCATTACGCCCCATTAAATTTGGCCATTTTTTGTTTAGGAACAATGTTAAAAATATTGTCAGAGATGGTATCAAACGTGTTGGCAGAAATACAATATCTCTTGAATTCAAAACTTTCAGTGATGCTAATGCTTTCCTTTACCACCCAGCTCTTTCTCCAGCCAAATATGAAGCGATTATCCCAAGTTACAGCATAACTAGAATGGGTATTGTCCGACAAGTTCCAGTTGAATAGACACTGGAGGAATTAGTAGAAGTAGGGGAAGTTCCGACTGGTTATGGCTCTATTGTTAAGGCACGGAGACTTAATAGGAAAACCCATGACAGTAATGGGTCACCAGTATGGGTTCCCACCCAGACAGTGGTACTAACCTTCTCAGTTCAAAAACTTCCCTCCCATGTGTACTGTTTTTTCACCTCCCTCCCAGTGGAAACATATGTGCTTCCCACAATTGAGTGCAATAAGTGCTGCCGGTTTGGACACATCTAAACTCAACGCAGATCGGAGGCTCGCTGCTTTATTTGTGCACAAACTCATGAAGGCCTACATTGCACCAAGGAAACACCAACCTGTTTACTCTGCTCTGGATATCATAAAGCCACCTACACCGACATCCCTCTTGCCCTAAGCAATCAAGGCAGAAACAAATAAGTGGTCATGTCCCAAGAAAATACCTTTTACTCTGAAGCATCTGCCAGATTCACCCAAGTGCCAAGATCTTTTGCTGACACAGCGAGGTTCGATTTAAATGAATATCAGCCTACACCCACCCCTCACTATACTTCTCCCCCCAATCCATCTCCCCAACACACTTCCTACCGCAAAACAGTAGCTATTCCCAGGCACCAACCCCTCCCAGCTTCTAGTCCAGAGTATAAGCAATAAGTTCATAGAGACATAGTTATGTCTCCTAGTTCTCAACTGGGAAATGGATGTGCACTCCCAAATAACTCCTCAATGCCTAACGATAATTTAATTTCTCTTCTCCTCTCGACCATCATTAATCTCTTAGGGCGTTTTAGTGACGTCCCCCTACCGAACAACCTCATAGATCAACTGTCTCGGCTCATTCACCTCACCTGCTCCAGTGGCTCTCATTCTCCAGTGGAACTGTCGCAGCAGCAGGAATAAAGAAAACGAAATTCAATTCCTACTTAATAAATACTCTCCTGACGTTTTCGCAGTCCAGGAGATGCGACGTAAACCAGGCGATCGAGTACGGTTTCCAGGTTTTTCGTGTCTCCGCGATGACAGGACAGACGGGCAAGGAGGTTCGGCAATCCTAGTGTCAACAGCCATAACCTTTTCGCAGATTTCCCTTTCCCCTCATAGCGAACACATTAATGCAGTTGCTGCCAAATTGCTAAACGCATAACGTTTCTGTCGGTTTACATTCCTCACCCTAACCTTACATGCCTTGCTGAGTTTTCGGATATTGTCGCTTCCCTTAGTCCCCCGCTTATAATATTAGGGGATTTTAATATACACCACATTTCCTGGGGCTCATATTACAATGATTATTTATCCTCTGCTTTCCTGGACATCTGCAAAAACGATGACCTCTGCCTTCTCAACGATGGCTCCCCGACGCGTAGAGTCTATCCGTCCCAAAATATTAGAAGTGCCGTGGATCTCTCTCTGTGCTCCCCCTCACTTTCTTCCAAACTCATCTGGACAATTCTGCCGGTTACTCACGGCAGTGACCATTTTCCAATTGTTATTCTAGCTCCGGAGCACAGGGCGGACCGTTCGAATACCCAGAATATTCCTCGTCCTAAACTAAAATTTAACCTGTCAAAGGCCGACTGGTCAAAATATAAATGTGTTTTAGACCACAACACAACACCTACCTGTGGCTGATCTTGAAAACTTTCGCTCAGTCTATGCTGATTTTAGAAATTGTCTGCTGTCATCAGCAGATAAATGCCTCCCCACCAAAAATGTATTCAAGGGTAACTCCCCATCTCCACCTTGGTGGGATTCCGAATGCACTGAAGTCTGAAAGGATAGGAAAACAGCAGAATGTGCATACGCGCTAACAATGACTGAATCCCTTTTTATAAAATACCGTGCGGCTGCAGCAAAAGCTGTAAGAGTACTGAGTGAGAAAACGAGTTGGGTGGCGTAGATTTTGTGAAACTCTCTCTCCAAGATCTCATTCTTCCTTGGTTTGGAGGAATGTCAGGAGATTTAGGGGTTCTACATCCTGTTCCGGTATATTCTCATCGAATGACACCTCAAAGTGGTTTGATCATTTTCAAAACAAACTGCTTTGTCCACGTCCCCTACTCTATCTCTAACCTCAGTTTTTGACTCCCCATTCTCTCGGGAGGAACTCTCGACAGTGTTAAACGGTCTCAAAGATTCTGCCCCTGGAATTGATGGTATACCATATTATTTTATCGTTAACAGCAGATTCAACCAGACTTATTATTTAGTATTCTTAATAACATCTTTCTGACGGGAATTCCTCCGGATGAATGGAAAGTCCAAATCATTATACCCATATTAAAACCAGGAAAACTTAGTAATGACCCTAATGAATATAGATCCATTGCTCTTTCTTGCACGTTAGCCAAAGTCTTAGAACATCTCATTAAAAATCGCCTTGAGTGGATAGTTGAAAGTAGGGGTTTAGTCGCTAAAAGTCAATGTGGTTTCCGGAAGGGCTTGAGCACCATGGACAGCCTCAGTATTTTTCTGACAGACATTTAGATTGGCTTGTCTAAACGAGGACATATAGTTGGATATTTTTGGATGTGTCATCAGCGTATGACAATGTATTGCTTCTAGTACTCAGGCAAAAGATGCTTAATCTGAGTATACTTGTGAAGCTTATCTATATAATTTTTAATCTCCTCTCTGCCCGTTCAATGCAAGTCAGTGTTAACAACTCCCTTTTACCACCAAGAACTGTCTGGAGAGGCCTTCCACAGGGATCTGTTCTTAGTCCCTTGCTTTATAGCCTCTACACACATGACCTTGAGCAGTCTTTTAACCCATTATGCGACGTCTTCCAGTATGCTGACGACTTGGCCTTATAAATTTCGGATAACAATATCGAAAATATGTCAGCCCACCTCAATTCTGCTCTAAGCTACCTGCATACCTGGCTAACCGACCACGACCTTTCGCTGTCGGTCGGAAAAAGTAATGCAGTAGTTTTTTCCCGTGGAAGGAACACATTATTATTAATTACGAGTCAAGAACCAATCTATCCTGTTAAAAAATCAAGCCAGGTTTCTTGGAGTTGTGGTGGAGTCTAAAATGACAGGCGCCCATCACATCTCACACGTTTATCATTGTCTGGAACATGGTGGGGTGCTCACCCTCAATCTCAGAAGCTTTTGTACAATGCTCTGATTCGAGCTCATCTAGATTATAGCTCCTTTTTACTAGAACCCTGCCAAAAATCCTCTTTAAAAGATCTAGACAAAGTACAATATAAATCTCTTTGAATTATAAACAGGGGCTATGAAATCTTCTCCCACCAATGCACTAAAGGTGGAATGTGCGGACCATTATCTATCAGTATCTTATAATTTTTTTGTGTTGTAGAATTGTTGCATCAAAACTTTATATAGAATATAGAAGTAATGTAGTAGTATTTAAAAATACTAACCCTTGTTCTAAACTATCGACAGTTGCTTGTTCTTTATTGTCATCCACACCTACATAAACCGGCTCGTGTTTGACGGCTAACGCTGTCAGTGCCTCCGTTTTCTTCGTTTGAGTTGCACTGAACATCATTGTTTGGCGGCGTTCTAAAAATATGGCGCTTTCTTGTATTAAACAGCATCATCAAAATAGTAGAATACGTTAAAGGGCTGGTAAGCACGACTAAAGGGAGAAGTATGACTGATTTTTTTTTCGCCATTCTTGTGACACCCTCATGGAAGAATGGCATAAGTGGAGTTACGTCAAAAATGTTTATTGCTGCATTAGATACAAAAAAATATAACCCATATCCTGTCCAATTCTTATAATTCTATCTGCAGTATTAGTCGATAGAGTTAATAGAATTGGAGAGGATGTGGGTTACATTTTTCTGTATCTAATGGAGCAATAAACGTTTTTGACGTAACTCCACTTATGCCATTCTTCCAAGAGGTGTGCGGTCTGTACCGCTCTGCTAAGCCGAAAAGAGCTATCTCTGAGATACGACCTTTTAGTTGTTTTTTGTGTTGTGTTTTTAAAGAAACCATTCAATAGCTATAATAATTTCGCATCTAATGGTATAATAAACATAGAGCTATCTAGTTTAAAACATTTTACTAAGAAGTATTTTTATTTCTCAATTTTTGAAACCTAAAAAAATAGCGGTATCTCACAAAATAGGTATAATGGTACAATTTATGGTTAATTTAGGTATATCAATAAATCTATTAGTCAGAAATACGTATAAATAAGTTTTAACAACTTCAAAAAGATTTCTTTTTGAAGGTGCGAAAATACAAAAAAAAATTACAAAAAGTAATATAAGAGATAGCGCTTTCCGGCTAATCAGGGAGTAGACTGCACTCCTAGTTATATAACGTAGTTTAATTGGCAGGAAGCAATTTTCAATGTATTAGACAAAGAGCGAAGCATTGAAAAACCAAAGGTTGAGTTGGTACTATTGAGTGATGTTCTTGTTGATACTTACTAGGCAATAATCTAATAATCTGCTTGACTTCTTCTTCAAATCCAATTTCGAGTATTCTGTCTGCTTCATCAATAATGAGACACTGTAGATTCTTGTACAGGAAATCTGGAGTGTTCTGCAGGTGATCCAGCAGTCTGCCTGGTGTTGCTACTACAATGTTTATACCTGAATATGATAAGATTAATATTAGAATCCAGATAGTTTAGTATCAATTAAAATTATTATTTAAGGTTTATAGTTAGTTCCTAGTGAACTTAATTAAAGCACACACACACACACACAGTATAATTAATGCATGTACATGTTTTTAAACCTTTAGATAATTTTGTTGCCTCTGTAGTCCTGTTTGCGCCTCCCATAACCAACCCATATGTGTGATGATGATACTTCATCAATTCCATCAAAACGCCAAATGTTTGCATTGCCAATTCTCTTGTTGGAGACAGGATTATTACTCCTGTGCCTGGAATTTAACTTAGAACCTTAAAATTACAGTAAAAACAAGCTGTTACTGTCTGGAATGAAAATAAATGATCAGATATCCATTCTGAGTTCATAAAATGACTCTAGACACACTCCTGTAGTGTAGACAAATAATCAACAACAAATGTGCCTCAACAGTTTTCACTGGAGACTCAATCTATTACTGATTATTTGCATTCAGTACTGTGGAAATATGGAGTCTAATTTTCACATTCGCCTTTTGTCATCATTTAAATAAAATTGCCTTAACAAATTTGATTTCTTTCAATTATGAAGTAAGTCTATTTTGAACAGTCTTTTTTCTAACAATGAAGAGTAAAAAAAGTAACTATAAGTTTCACAGACCAAGTTTTTGAACATATTATAAACATTGCAATACAATATGTTAACTTATAATACAGCCACAGTTAATAAAAAAAAGGTGACATTTAAAACAAAATTATGTATACTGCCGTGATCTTTAAAAAAAGGCTGATCTGTAACTATTTTTATTTTTCCTGAGTGGATAAGGCATGAAGTTACCCTGCAAGAGAAAAATGGATATATTTAAATTTAATTTGTTTAAACATAATTATTTTCTCAGATTTTATCACAAGCTCAACTAATTTCTTTAGATATATTTTCTTGGTTTCGAGATTTTGTCACAAGTGCACTTTCAACTAATGGCGACAGAATAGTTGTTTGTAGTTATAAATTTACAACAACTACAACAACAGATTAAGTCATTATATATCATCCATAAAAGTGTTAGCTAAAAATTCTTACCATTTCTAGGTTTAAACTGCAGCTTATAGATAAGCTCAATAGCAGGTATAAGAAAAGCCAAAGTTTTTCCTGAACCAGTCTTAGCTGCTCCCACAAGATCCCTGCCTTCCAGAAGAGGAGGGATTGCTTTAGCCTGGATTTCTGTCATAGTTGTAAAACCCATGTCTTTGATGCCCATGAGTGTGTTCTCACATACTTTGCCAGTTAGAGAAGTAAATTTTTGGTCTGATAGTATGCCCAGACATAAGCTGGAACCAGGCACTGAAATGAATAAATAAATGAAAATGAGAATTAAATGAATGAATAGAACTTTTTTCAAATATATTTATTATATTGAATTATCTTAGCCAATATTATAACTGTAAAATATGGACTGTAGTTGTCTGAGAATAAATGATTTTTGATTTTTGATATATTATACAAAATATAATAATGTTATTTAACATACTCCATTTGCTTGTCAAAGTTAAAATAAATTATAGCAAAACAGTAATATCTTTCTTATTAATTACTTTAAACGTAAATTCCACTGGCATAGCAATTGAAGTGTTATTTCATCAACATTACACAATATGTTATGTCAAAGAAATGTCAGGTATACAATATTGTGGTATGATTTAAGTAATGATAGCAGTTGAGTAACAGGTTTTTAAGTTTGCAAGAAAGTAATTTTAAAGTGTTGGGGACAGTTTTGTGATATTTTTACATCATCACATAACCAAAATCACTATAACCTGATCAATGACTGAGTTTGTTATGAATGTGAGTAGATAGGATTTACATTGCAGAATATATACAGGATTATCCAGTATTTGCAGAACTACCTCCATGGCCGAATGGTTGCCATGCTAATCTGGGCCAGGAGAAATATTTGTAGGGCCTACATTTATTTCTCTGGGGAGTTTCGAGCATGATTAGCGGTTGTACATATGTGTGTCCATGGCACCCGCAACACAGGGTTTCCCTAGTGGGGTGGTATGGGTGTGTGTGTTTAAGTATAAGTAACATAGTAAATGAAAATTATATATACATGGATTTTCCTGTCCTGGTTTACTATCGCCTTCGTTATCAGTGTCATTCTGACTGGATTCATTGTCAGATTGCTGTTCGTCTTTCACCTGTACTCGTTCTTCTACTGCTTTAGCTTTCTTTTTCTTCTTTTCTAATTTCATTAAAAATGTCACAAACTATTAATACAAAATCTGCACTACTTTTACACTTAATGCAGCACCTACCAATGCATTGTCTCTTTTAAAAGGTATTTTAACTTATTGTATTAAGTAAACTAGTCTATCATCGCGTCTATAAGCATGTTTCCATAAATACAACCCCATTAAAGTTGGTTTTTTTTAATAGCACAAAAATGTTTATTAACCACAAATGTCCCTTTGCTTCGTGTTCCAACTATGAAGACGTCTTGAAATAATAAAAAAAAAATTATTACAACTTCGCAATAAAAATGTAACATGGTTATTTCAACCAGCTTACTTACTTTTTGGTGTTGTATTTTCACTATGATCGCTATCATCGTGTGGTCTTTTCTCCACTTCTTTAGTTGAAATGTCTTCTTCTAAAATAAAAAAAGTAAAGGATTGTTGCTCTACACACGTGCTAAACACAGCTAAACACACACCACATAATGTTGAAGAGGTTACCTTTTTCAGTCCCGTTTGTTTTCTGTGCAATTAGTTTCAACTTCTTCTTCTCTCTTTTCTTTATTTTTCTCATTAAAATCTTGTCTGGAGTGGGCATTTTAACTCAGCTCAAAACTGTGTGGAAATCGTGCAGGCTTTGATAGTACACGTGAAGCTTCCTTCGAAAGCGCGGACGGACCACAGTGACGGACATTAATGATTTATTGCGATTTGACAGTGAATGAATGAAATAAATAGAATAAAGTAGACGGTGCTGCGTAAGTAAATAATGAAAAAAAAACTTGATTTTTTTCTAAGTCGATAATTTTAGAAGAAATCGAGTAATAGTAGCACGCCTCTATATTATTGTTGTAAGCTGTAAGCTTTGCCAAAGCCTTAATAAATAAAAAAAAAAATCATAGTGATGAGGCGTTTATTTTATTGGGATTTTTGGCTTGGATAAGTCTTAGTTTTCGAGATCACTTCATTAAAAATTTTCTATTGTGTTTTTGTTGTATGTGAAGAATGGCAAAAAGGACTTGTTTTTTTTTTTATTGATTGATTTTATTTTTGAAATAGTCTTTTAAGCGGCGGGAGTAATTTTTCATGTTTGCACTTTCACTTAAACCATTTGTAGTTCATTTGCTAATAAAAGACGTTGAATTTTTATTGAGCACAGCCACAACACATATATCCTGCATTATAGTCCGCCATGCCGTCCGCCGCGTAATACAGGATTATAAATGTAGTACCAGCGTGCAAGTCATCTTGCAATGTGTCCTGCGAGATTTCATACGTGGGCCACGCACAGGATAGTGTGTGAGCAGTGTTTTACCGGTGCGGCGGATTGCCATGCAGGTGGTGAATGGCACATTAACAAAATGAGGGAAGGGTGATTCATTATCCTGCATTGCAGTCCGCCTTGCTGTCAGCCACGTAATACAGGATTATGAACGTAATCGCGGTGTGCATACCATCCTGTAATCGTGACTCCATACGTGATTTGTACTTCTAATTGCTTCCAATTAAAATTGTTCGTTATTCAAAGTTTCCAAAAATTTAATTATTGTCGTTGACACAAATTCTATTCGCGACGAGTCAATTTATCTACAACATTAAAAAAAAATAATGTCAAAGTTGTGAAAATTAAATGCGTGGGTTTTCTGTAATAGTTCTAATATAATTTTTATTTACAAAGGAAAATTATTTCAAAGATTCAAATAATATTTTAATCAATTTATTTCAAATTGTGTATGAATATTAAAATTTGCATGTGAAACTAGAGTGCTGCATTTTCGTAATTTTTTTCCAAAAGTTTTTGGAGCATTTTACGTTGTATTTTTAAACTTTCATTGCACGAATATTAAAAATCTGCGATCAGAAAACATGTCAAAGGTGGTCTTCCTCTAAATGAACATGAAGCAAGAAAGTAAAAAAGTAAAATTTAAAACTCTCAAGGATAATGGGGTGTCTGAAGAAACACTACGAGCAGTCAAAGAGATCGGCTTTAAATACATGACTGATGTACAGGCAGAAGTGTTGCCGATAGCTTTAAACGGCGGTGATGTGGTGGCTACTGCGAAAACGGGCTCTGGAAAGACTTTGGCGTTTATAATTCCAGTTATTGAAACTGTGGTTACAAATTATAAAGGTTTGCGAGGTATTACTGGCTTATTAGGTCATTCCATACCAGCTTATGATTAATTTAAACATGTTTTGTTTTATACTGCCACCATTTGTTGAAAGGGCTCTTGTGAAAGATTCAAAACTGGGAAAATAATGTTTAAAGAAATAAAAACTTTTCTTTTATGGTAACATGAAGTTACCCTTATCCACCTAGGAAAAAATATAAATAGTGACAGATGGGCCTTTATTTACTCATCACGGCAGTATACATAAAAATCGTTCGAAAGTAAGTACTTTACTAATAATAGCACCTTTATTGCTGATACAATTCAAATATTACAGTATCAATATATTAGAAAATACAATTCACTATCAAAAAATTATTAAGAAATATAAAAATATCTTAAAAATGGACAAATTTCCAATTAAAAATAGTACTTAAATAGTTTCAATATTAATAATTTAAAATATTTTCCTATAATTAAATCACATCCACATCATCAGCTTATCTTTCGACATAGACTTGCTCCAGAAACTTCCAGTTTTCCCTGTACTATAATAAGTACTTTGTTGCTGCCTTAACCTTATGCTCAGGCCACACAGAGGCGGCCACAGAAGCGCGGTCGAAGCCGGTTGCCGTCATTAAGGAAATAATAATAACAATGTCTTTTTAAATGTCACGTGTGCCTTTTCAATTAATGGTGGCAGTATAGTTTTATGTATGTATGTTATAAACTGCCTCAGTGGCCGAACGGTTACCATGCCGGACTGCCATGCAGAGGTCTCAGGTTTGATTCCCGGGCCGGGAGAAATATTTGTATGGCCTACATTTATTTCTCTCGTGAGTTTGGGTGTAATTTGTGTTTGTCTATTATTATATTATTACGTAAATTATTCTAATGACTTGTGTAACTCTTTTTTGGTCTTTTTCATCATCTTCATCAACCCATCAAGCACGAGTCTCTTATAAGAATTGTGAATTAATTTGGCATGCTGATTTTGCCACAATGTTTTCCTTCCCCATTAGTATGAGTTATTGTCGCTGAACATTCCCAAATGTATGTAACTTATAAATTAAACTAATTGGGATTTGAACCGTTGTCTTGTCTTCTCATTTTGCCTGTTTATTCATATTACTGTTTTAATGTCAGCTGATAAAACATAATCCTAGGTAAGTGACCTCCTTACATAGCTTTGAGATTAAATTTAAACGTTTACTTGTTTCCTTTATCTGCCTATATAAATTCAATATTTGATGTTAGTAGATATAGTGCATTATTTTTGTACTGTAACTATATTAGGATCTAATGCTCAGAGGTTTAAAATACACTTGTATAACATCTTATAGAATAATTACAATTTTCATTTTGTTATAATAGTCTTCTATTTAAATTTTAAGTTGTTTTAATATTTAATTACAGGTACATGTTGTATCATAATATCACCAACAAGAGAGTTGGCGACACAGTCTCACTTAGTCTTACAAGACCTCATCTCTCACCATGTAGGAATTACATCGGCTTTGATTATAGGAGGAGAAAACAGAAGGAAGCAGAGTATTCAGCTTTCAACGGGTAATAGATTTTTAAAATTCTATTGAATATTGTTATCATATATAAATGAAACGGTTTTTTCAGATCTAAATAGCATATACAAAAAATATATACACACTATTTAGATTTAAAAAAAATGTGTTATATCTTATATGCAGGAATTTGTAAAGGCTTATTCCCAGTTGTCACCAGTGGCTTTGTATCCACGGATGACAAATGGGACGACTGGCGATAACTTGTAATGAAACGTTACGACATTGTTAAATTAATTTTAGAATAAATCGTTTTTCAAATTGGACTATTAAATATTGAACACAAATATTATCTACAACAAATATATCCTATTTTTAAATAATAATTGATTATAAAACATTAAAACCATTATTTACCATAGATAAAGTTGGTTAAATCTATGGCGTTGCATTATCGAATGATGTCGGAGACGCAGAGAGGGGAGGGCGTGGTAAATCGAACCCGGCGCTGGCGCCCGCGGGGTTCTGAGAGACAGCGTCAGAACGTCTTGAGAGCCAGTCCACGTTCGGCTTGGCCGCGCTTACGATATAAAAAACAGTTAGTACCCAGTTACACGAGAAGAATGTTTTCTCGCGACGGCCAGTTACCACGCCTTCATGTACATTAATGGCGAATTTGAATTCTATTTACTAGGCAACAACTTTTAAATTCCTCTGAATAAAATTACCCCGCGGGCCGCCGCGTAGACCAAATTCAAGCCAGACTAGCCCGTGTGCCCGGAACGCTCATATAAATTAAAACGTAAAAGCTAAACAAATACTTAGTATTTTGCCACGACAGTTAAACGCACGCGGTCGCTGCGCGACGGCAACGCGGGGTGAGCGCGATGAAATTCGTGTCGAATAAATGCGCCCTTAAGGTAATTTGATGTGTGCAAAATGTTATTGTAAATCAAAGATTATTGCTTCTTCCCAATCACATTAAACGTACTTAAATAGTTGTGAAAGTGAAAGTTCCCGCTTTAGGGATTTGACCTTCGGGTTGGAAAGCTACCTTTGCTGAGCTTCCTTCGGGTTCATACACCTGGAGCTTGATAACGTCCGGATTAGGACGAAGCATTTCCGCTGAATGGCTACTGATTGCTGCTGGTCCTGTGGCCTTTCTTCTGCGCCGGCAAATATCTTCAAATGTGCTATACAGTTGCTTCAGTCAAGGAATTAGAGTCTCTTTGGCCTGGATCCCAGGTCATTCTGGTATAGTAGGTAACGAGACCGTTGACCTGATGGCAAAAGAAGCCACTGAAATTGGATGTCCTACTTACTCTCAAGTATTCTCTCATGACTTGCCCTTACTGGCAACTCAAAAGATGATGTCCACATGGAAAGTCGAATGGAAAGAGAGCACCAAAGTGAAAGGAAAGCATTATGCGAACATTCAAAATGTCATCCTGAGTAAACCTTGGTTCTTTAAATTTAACAAAGCATCCAAATCTTGCACCTCCACCATATGTAGATTAAGGCTCGGCCACTCGAGCACCCCAGTTCACTTAGCTAAAATTAGGGTAAGAGACAGCTCGCTTTGCGAGTACGGGCTGGACGAAGGAACTCCGGATCACATTTTCTTCAATTGTAACAAGTACCCAGTCTCCTTGTACGATGTCCTTCCCTCAACTATTCTCAAACCCACAAATTTCAATACGATTTGAAGTCTTGTGGATACGTCTTGCATCAATGTCCTTTGTGATTATATAACCAGCAATAACATAAATTTATAAGTTGTTTGTCCTGCCTAACACACTTACCTACTAACATTTGTCTATATACAGCGTGTCCCAAAATTTAACGATAAGCGGGTGCTGGAGGGTGGACCTGCGCATAACTACTTGAGGAAAAATAAGAAAAAAAATCTATCTCATTTTTTTTTCAATTACGATAAAAAAAATTGTTATTCTTCGAAAATTTACTCCCTTAATGATATTTTGAATCACCACCACCACATTTTTTCAGATATTTCTGATGTTTTAATTTTAACGGCCACCTAAGTAGTACTGCTGTCTACCACAACTCTTAAAAACCCTAGAATTTCCTTGTAACTCAAAGGGCCCAATCACTTTTCCATTTAATATGCCTGTCCATAGGTCCACCCTCCAGCGCCCGCTTATCGTTGAATTTTGGGACACGCTGTATATTGTTCTCCGTCCCTTTCAGGTAATTCAACAGCTCTGCAACTTTAAATAAGAAAGGGTTTTTTATATCACATTGTGCTCTCACAATACTCATTGAATAGCAGAGTCTACAGAAGCCAGTGTTGGGCGTTAATCAATTAAATTTCAATCAATAATTCAATCAGATTAAAAAATTAATTGCAATTGATTTTAATTGCTTCAATTGAATTGATTTTAATTGCAATTAAAATCAATTCCGCCCGGTTGGGGTCCCCGGTTGGGGCCCCGGTTGGGGGCCCCGGTTGGGGGGCCCGGTTGAGGGCCCGGTTGGGGCCCCGGTTGGGGTCCCGGTTGGGGGGTACAGTTGGGGCCCCCGGTTAGGGGCCCGGTTGGATGCCCGGTTGGGGGGCCCCGGTTAGGGCCCAGGTTGGGGCCCCAGGTTAGGAGACCCGGTTGGGGGCCCAGGTTGGGTGGCTCGGTTGGGGGGCCCGGTTCGGAGCCATCAGGCCCCTTAACTGGCCCCCAAACTGGACCCTAACCGGGCCCCCCAACCGGGGCCCCTAACCGGCCCCAAACGGGGCCCCCAACCGGGCCTCCAACCGGGCCCCGACGGGGCCCCCAACCGGGCCCCCTAACCGGGCCTCCAACCGGGCCCCGACGGGGCCTCGGGCCGGACCGGGCATCCAACCGGGCCCCTAACCGGGGGCCCCAACTGTGCCCCCCAACCGGGACCCCAACCGGGCCCTCAACCGGGCCCCCCAACCGGGGCCCCCAACCGGGGCCCCAACCGGGGCCCCAACCGGGGACCCCAACCGGGCGGAATTGATTTTAATTGCAATTAAAATCAATTCAATTGAAGCAATTAAAATCAATTGCAATTAATTTTTTAATCTGATTGAATTATTGATTGAAATTTAATTGATTAACGCCCAACACTGGCTTCTGTAGACTCTGCTATTCAATGAGTATTGTGAGAGCACAATGTGATATAAAAAACCCTTTCTTATTTAAAGTTGCAGAGCTGTTGAATTACCTGAAAGGGACGGAGAACAATATATATAGACAAATGTTAGTAGGTAAGTGTGTTAGGCAGGACAAACAACTTATAAATTTATGTTATTGCTGGTTATATAATCACAAAGGACATTGATGCAAGACGTATCCACAAGACTTCAAATCGTATTGAAATTTGTGGGTTTGAGAATGGTTGAGGGAAGGACATCGTACAAGGAGACTGGGTACTTGTTACAATTGAAGAAAATGTGATCCGGAGTTCCTTCGTCCAGCCCGCACTCGCAAAGCGAGCTGTCCCTTACCCTAATTTTAGCTAAGTGAACTGGGGTGCTCGAGTGGCCGAGCCTTAATCTACTTATGGTGGAGGTGCAAGATTTGGATGCTTTGTTAAATTTAAAGAACCAAGGTTTACTCAGGATGACATTTTGAATGTTCGCATAATGCTTTCCTTTCACTTTGGTGCTCTCTTTCCATTCGACTTTCCATGTGGACATCATCTTTTGAGTTGCCAGTAAGGGCAAGTCATGAGAGAATACTTGAGAGTAAGTAGGACATCCAATTTCAGTGGCATCTTTTGCCATCAGGTCAACGGTCTCGTTACCTACTATACCAGAATGACCTGGGATCCAGGCCAAAGAGACTCTAATTCCTTGACTGAAGCAACTGTATAGCACATTTCTAATTTTTAAGACACAGGGAAAGTTCGATCTGTTACGGAAAGGATTGGACAGAATTGCCTGGAGACAACTCTTCGAGTCTGTTAATTAGACAGTTTTGTCTAGCTCATGAGACTCAATATAGAGAAGAGCTTCTAAGATAGCAATGGCTTCCCCAGTAAAAACAGAAGAAAGGGGAGTACATTTAAAATGAAGGATAATTTTAAATTTGGGTATCCAGACAGCAGCACCAACACATCCTTCATCTGACATTTAATTTATAAGAGATATAATTTAATTTATGTTAATTTATAAGAGGATGGGATGAATTTTGAATAATTTTAAAAAGAAATCTGTCCGCTAAATGTTGTCTCCTGATAGATAAGGGGGGGTCCGCACATTCCACCTGTAGTGCATTGGTGTTATAATTGTTATAATTCGAAGAGATTTATATTGTACTTTGTCTAGATCTTTTAAAGAGGATTTATGGCATGGTTCTAGTAAAAAGGAACCGTAATCTAGATGAGCACGAATCAGAGCATTGTATAAAAGCTTCTGAGATTGGGGGTGAGCACCCCACCATGTTCCCGACAGTGACCGAAGGATATTAATATTTTTCTCACATTTTTTAACAACATGTGAGATGTGATGGGCGCCTGTCATTTTTGACTCCACCACAACTCCAAGAAACCTGTCTTGATTTTTTAACGGGATAGACTGGTTCTCGTAATTAATAATAATATGGGGTGTGTTCCTTCCACGGGAAAAAACTACTGCATTACTTTTTCCGACCGACAGCGAAAGGCCGTGGTCGGTTAGCCAGGTATGGAGGTAGTTTAGACCAGAATTGAGGTGGGCTGAGATATTTTCGATGTTGTTATCCGATATGTCTAATATGGCCAAGTCGTCAGCATACTGGAGGACGTTGCAAAATGGGTATAAAGGCTATAAAGCAAGGGACTAAGAACGGATCCCTGTGGAAGGCCTCTCCAGACAGTTCTTGGTGGTAAAAGGGAGTTGTTAACAGTGACTTGAATTGAACGGGCAGACAGGAGGTTAAAATTATATTGATAAGCTTCACAGGTATATTCGGATTGAGCATCTTTTGCCTGAGTACTGGAAGCAATACATTGTCATACGCTGATGATACATCCAAAAAAACTCCAACTACATGTTCTCGTTTAGACAAGCCAATCCAAATGTCTGTCAAAAAA